AAAAGGGTGTCAGTAAAGTTATACTGGTATCTATAGGAATCCTTATGGTGTCATTATGATGTATTTTCTCTAAGTGGCAGCTAGGTATTGATTATATCTGACATTTTAGATAAACAGTGACTTCAACTAATAAAACTTGATCAGCACTGATCAGGTTTTATTAGTCAATATAAGTCATCAGGTGCTGATCATTTTAACTAACTTTCTGTCCCTGCTTTCTGTTTGTGTTTCTTTTACAGAAACCTACGTTCCTCCATTTAGAAGTACAAACCTTCACACACATTTACATGATATGACTTTTTAATTAATATGGCTTTCATGGTTTCATCTGGGTCTCTTTGGTGGTAACACTTGACAAGAACCAGTACCTATTGGGAAACATTAAGCTAACCATGGGCAGGTTTCCAGTATGTGACCCTTTTTTCTGGCTCTGCTGGGTCTTATCTACTTGCATCTTGGAGTAACTTTGGGTGTTTTCCACTGGGAAATCGCACTCTAACCTGTTAATGTGCGGTTTGGTTCTGCTCCTCGTTACTGTGGACGGGCTGTGATCACCTCAAGGTTCTGGTTCTGATGGACTCAAATAAACCAGATATTTAATTTGGTTTCATAGAAGTTCAATGCTGACCCAAACATAATTATAAACACTCAGGTCAGCTGATTATTGTGGCGTACATATAATATAGTTACATTCTGGCACTTTATTTTTTTAAATGTGAAACATTCTGGATTCAGACAATGGAGTCAAAAAATGTAAACAAATTCCCACGCCTGAACTTTGTTTTATTTTTAACTCTAAACAAAAAGTGAAATTCACATTACACCAAGTTAATGTGTAATTTGGACAAACTGCAGCTCAGACAGAAGCTGATCACAGCTTCACTGTTTCTCTCTCCTTTATTGCTGCCTGTTTTTCAGAGACAAGCTGCTAAATCAAAAACAGGCAAAAGTTACCACATTTTTTTATTAAACAAATTTTAAAAAGGATTTACACCAGGAAGGAAGGGATTGTAATGTCTTGTTTTTTACTTGAACAGGGATTTTAATTAAAACTTTTAACATCATAAGAGATCAAGTGTAGATCATTCCTTTCTAATTCACTTTCCTGCTTTCTGCTCGTTTCTTTTACAGGCACCTGAAGAGAACGCAGGCGATGTACGAACCTTCACACACATCTAGTATCTGTATCACGTGGCCCAGATGTTTTTATTTATATATTTATTTAGTGATCCAGTAAACACAGATCTAAGGACATTGAAGCTAGAATAACAGAGATCGACATCAGATGGGATTGGTGGATGTTAAATACTGTAACAATCGTGAATCCTTTTCTCTCTCCTGTATATAGGAGGGAGTTCCAATCCCAAAAATGAAAAACACACAATTACTATTTGAAACCTATATAGAGTCACTCACAACCTTAAGGAGAGGTGTGACTTACAATAAGTTTCACTGATGCAAATCTCTGTATTTACTGAGGTAATCGGACTGGTTGTTTCTGCCACAGTTGGTCCTTCTTAGTTTATCACCAAAGAAAGTCCTATTATCCAACAATTGCTCAGGCAATGGAGCACTTAATCCCACTGTTGCTTTTGGCTACTTCTGGACAGTTTGTTGGATGTTAAATGAACTTTGGCAATCAGGGCTCCTCCCCTCTCTCCTCCACAGAGAAGGGAGCTCCAGTCCCAGAAATTAAAATGAATGAAATTATAACCACTAACTCCCAAAAGTCATAGCAGTTCCTGAAGGGCTCAGCATGGTCGAATCAAAGTCACAAGGTTTCAGGATGTTAATTTTCACACACACCCTTCCACAAGCCACAGTGAGCCGAGCTCCTGTGAAACTCCTCCCATTGCAGTATTTGTCACGGTCTCTTGTCATATGTGTGGCTTACAACAATAAACACAGCGATTGTGACATCATGGAGGAGCAACTATCATGAGTTCACTAGTTCAATCAATAACACAATAGTTTAATATGCAGGGGGGCGAAATCTACAGGTGTCATGATGTTAAGCAAGAGTTAGAACTGGAAGAAATTAATTTTAATTTCTGGCATTTTAGATGAAGTACAACTAATATACTTTAAGCAGATTATACCTTTCTAACTCACTTTCTGCTTGTGTTTCTTTTACAGAGATCTCCAGAGACTGAGGTAGAAGCACAAACATTCACTCACAAATCCAGTATTTGCATCATGTGGCTCAGATGGTTTTACTTAATATGGCTTTCACTTTAGAAAACGATCCATGTTTCTGATCGGTCTTATTTAATGGTAATACTTAACAAAAACCAGTACTTATGGAGTTAGTACTGGTTTTTGAAGTTATAGGCAACAGTGGTATCAACTTGCATTTTTTTCTGGAGCATTTTACTAAACCTGTATGTATTATAAATGTCGGATCCAAAACCAGGCCTGTTTAGTTAACACAGATCTAAGCACAGTGGAGCCTTGATATGAGATGGGATTGATAGACATGAAATGAACAGTGGTAATAATGACTCCTTTCCTCTTTCTTGCACGTATCAGAAACTTCCAGCGGTAATGAAAGGTTCTCTGTACCACCATAGCATCGAGGCACAGCGCCCAAAACAGACACCGAAGATGCAATCACAGGTTTGAGTCCACATCTGTTGAATTTTGCTGCATGTCTTCTTCTTCTCTCACAACTTACTTTTATGTCATTCCACGATCAAATAAAGGTCAGGAGCTCTTAAAAAAAAAAAAAAATAATAATAATCTGTGCGATTGACCGAGTACTTTCAAGTACAGACCACATGCTTACAGAGGATACAAAGTCCACACACTGTTCTGAGAAGACATGTTGGGTGTACTTGTGAAATACTCTCAGGATACCAATGGAAACTAGATGAGTACGTACAGATTATGGAGTACTTGCTTCCATAAATACCTTTAGGGATTTGATACAGACAGGATATTCATAGGCTGACTACAGGTGACAGGACACATAAAGCGTACCTGCAGGAGTACTTACTGGATACGTGGATTGCACTTTCAGAGTTCCTACATAATGCCAATGGGACCAAAAAGTCCCAAAAGCTTCTAAAACTGTTTTAAACTGTTTTAACAGTATTAAAACAGTTTTACAGTTGTAATACTGTAAAACTGAAGCATACAAAAGAGCATATTGTATTCAAGTTACAGTTATTGGAGTAAAACACACACAGGGTAACATTAGCATTGACATAGGCCCAAAAATATCCATATAATCAAAAGTGTAGCCAAAAGGACCCACAAATAATGATTAGCATGATGCTAAAATACATTGCTAATTCGCATCGTATTTTTCTCTGATTTCTCAGACCTAAACAATTTAAAGAACCTCAGATGAGTTTCTAGCACAGCACTTAACTGTTCGACACTGACAGATGTTTCCAGGCCGTCAAGAAGACAAAATGGAAAAGTTTTTTGCTCAGACTACAGGAGCCTTGTAAGACAAACTGTACCAAACTCCAACTATAACCCTCTCTGGAAGTACAAGAGATATTCCTGGACTTGACACTAATTTAATGAGTATTACGGGCAATGACATGGACAGCTATGCATTTAATGGCCCTAATTTATCAAAAATGGATAAACTGTATGATTACTTCTTAATCGGTTTGGATCAGAGCATAGGATGCCGTTTGTACTGTTTATTCACTTACACAATGTACAAAACTTAATTAACTTTAAAAAGGAGAGATGTGTGGCACCATGTTATAGCAAAGAATAATTTCCACCTGCAGCCTCTGGACAGGTTAATGTGATCAAGTATTATTAACAGGTCATGAATTGATAAAAAGCCAGTATAGTAGTTAACTACATACATGTCCAATAATTAATTATTCACATCTCATCAAAACAAACCTAACCACTCAAACTACAAACCAACATACAATTCATGGAACTATTTCTTTGCCTTCATCAACAATGAGTTTTTATGCAACCGTGTAACTTTTATATGTTATCTGGTAAACTATACGCTAGAACCTCTCAGCAAAGCTTGATTTGTTGTGTTTTCTGTTGTTTTGTTGTTTTAGATGTTATGTACTGCGTTGTCATGCCGGTTCTGTTCAAACTGTTTCTAGAACATACAGGTCCGACATCAATGTGGCCAGGCTATGGAAAGTGAAATTGAACCACAGATTTAGTGAATAACGTGTGATTTAAGAATATGGATCAGCTTCTCATATAGTGCCAGGGTTGTGTTGATGGTTAAATCATAAATTAAAAACAGTATTTTGTATTTATTCAGAATCTAATCTGGAACATTTACAATATTATTGATGGAAAACATGTTGGAAAGGATGCTGTCACTTCTACTAAACTAAATCAGCTTAATCTTTTATCAAGGTAGCTTAAGTGAAAACCTGTTATAGAGAAAATAAACATTGAGAGGTCTGAACAATTTAATGCCTTCAGATTTAAGGATTCTCTAGGCTAAACTCAATAGTGTGAGCAACAGAAAACAGAAATATTGCTGCCCTGTTTAGTTTATTGATGTGTTTGTATTTTTCTCCATTATATGTCAATTATAGGTTCGCAGATATTATAGTTCCAAGATTGCTGCCGCAACACTGCCGCCTGTCACTGAAGCACTCAGTCGTGTTGGTTCTGTTCCTAATGACCCGACTACATCAGACTTCATGAATGAAAACAGGGTTAGTACCTTTTTAAATGTGTTTAAATGCTGGGAAACAATTGTGATGTGTGTAGAACATAGAACGTATTCATACATTGTAAAATCTTTTTTTATTTTTTTTATCAATGAACATGTGAGCGTTAAAGGAGACCTATTATGCAAAATAATTTTTTTTATACTTCTGTTTGGGTCTCAGCTGATTTTAAGAAACAGCACAGGTGCTTTAAACAACACTCAGCTCTGTTTTTGGTGTTTGGAAAATGAGTCGTTTCAAAAATCAATTGCTGTGTCATAATCGACGGGAACTGCGCTGTTACCTAGCAACCCCAGCAGCACGTTTGGTCAGCTGGTTTTACCACTGTATGCACTGTACAATGGCTGCTGAAAAAAAACAAGTGTTCTATTGTTTACTTACCATCCAGAAACCATTTGCTGCTTTCTTGTTACTTGTGCAAGATGTTTAATTCTGCTTTTCAAAGATGTGTGGTTGTATAATAATTTGCAGCCATTTTACGGGTGAGTGTAAATGTTGAGTTGGGGTCGTGGGCAACATACCTTATATGGATTTAGTGACAAGACTCCCTAAAACAGCTCATTCTGAAAGGAGCTCAAAATGGACAGAACTCACCAGACTAAAATCTAATAATACAAAAATGATTTTGTGCAAAAAAATGAAATGAACATGCTTTGTATCACCCATAGTCCTATCTTAATCTGTTCAAGAGAGCATAAAAGGTTGCCTTTAAGCAAAATAAGCACCAAGTAATGAATTAAATTGTCCATCCAGGCAGTGGACAGTGTCCTGCGCAGTTTTCTAGCTTCTGTTTATGGTTCACATAAATATTTAGCTTAAACTGAATAAACACCATCCAACAATCAGAGCTGTTTAAAGTCTTTATAGTTGTTCTTGTGTCTGAATTTCTCTGCTGCAGATGGGTATGTCTGTTACTCCCGCGTCCTCCAGGACAGAATATGGCCTTTGGTCTGACCCACCACAACTGCAAAGACAGTCTGCTGGTTCTGCCCCCTCACCTGCTGATTTTGGACCCTCACCTGCTGCTGAGTATTTAGACTCAATACACACATACATGAGGTGCCCTCTATTAGCAGTTTCTTCTGTGGAACCAGCTGCGTTACATTCACCTTTAGTTCAGCCATTATCAGACCGTAGGTCCAAAACAAGCTCTAATGCTGGTATAAGTCAAGGATTATTTGGGCAACCTCTCCCATTATCTGGATCTCCAAGTAAAGGCTCCATTCTTCGCAGGGTGGTATCTAGTGCTGTGCAGCAGGAAGCCACACGTGATTCTGCAGGCGAAGCTCCTTTGAGGCATTTTGCATCTGAATGTTTTTTAAACCAAGAAGAAGAACTCTCAGCCTTTCAAGAGAATGCAGGACGGACAGTCTTGTCTGAGGTTCCAGAATCTGATCCAACACCTCCCCGTAGTTTTACTGCTCTTCAAGCTCAAGCTCCTCAACTTAAATCTCGAACAGCTCTCCGTAAAAAGTCCATCAAACTGGACCAAAGAGTAGCTCCACCACCAGCTCTTCAAGCATTTAGTGAAGCTTCACTACCTCCCCTTCAAGTAGCTAGTGGAGCTCCTCCTCCTCCACCTCCAGGGGCCAGTGGAGCTCCTCGTCGTCCTCCAAGGGCCTTTGGAGCTTTTCGTCGTCCAATGCGCATAGAGGCTCCTTCACCTCCAGGGGCTATTTTAGCTCCTCCTCCTCCTCCTCCTCCAGGGGCCAGTGGAGCTCCACCTCCTCCCCCTCCAGTGGTCAGTGGAGCTCCTCCTCCTCCATTTCCAGGGGCCATTTTAGCTCCTCCTCTTCCATTTCCAGTGGTCAGTGGAGCTCCTCCTCCTCCATTTCCAGGGGCCATTTTAGCTCCTCCTGCACCTTCAATGGCCTTTGGAGCTCCTCCTCGTCCAATGCGCATAGGGGCTCCTCCACCTCCAGGGGCCATTTTAGCTCCTCCTCCTCCTCCATGGGCCAGTGAAGCTCCTCCTCCTCTTCCTCATATTCGTGACAGGGAAATCTGTAGTTCAAAGTCAGTGGGTCCTGAGCTTCGTCAGAAACAGCTACATCGTCAATTTGAGTGAGTTCTTGAACACACAAACTATTCTATCTTTATCAGCACTGAGCTGATATTTTCCATCTTATTACCTGGAATTGAGTCTTTTGTGTTGTGTGATGTTGGTCCAGAGGTCCACGCCCAAAAAAGCTGGACCTGCAGCTGAAGTGGATTAAGATCTTCCAACTGCAGCAGGCGGTAAGATGTTTTGCTCCGTTGTTTAAATCGGTCCAAAGCTCAGAGAAAAAACTTATATCACGAATCATTAAAAAGATCTCATCTATATTTTATTTTATGAAGTAATAAAAACGTCTGCTCAACTCCGGTTTGTTTGTCTACAAAGTCCTGCTTGTTTGTGTAAGTGTGAATAATCAAAGTGATGCGAACCAGTGAGAGAAATGGCTCGTGGATTTTACCGATGACAGGAGAGAAATCCTACAACCGCTAAAATCTGACTCCATTTTTATTTACATTTTCTGAAGAAGGAGCATGCAGTCAGCTTCTTTTTAGATGTTTTTGTGTCGTTTCCTTCAGCGGTTCTTGGTGCAGCCCCACCACAGACGAAGAGGCAAACAGGTTTTTCTATTAGTTTCGATAGTTTGATAGTTCAGTGCGAAAGCAAACTGCACCATATGAAAATGTAACAAGTGTTGCAATTTGCTGCTGTTTGAACTAAGATTTAGCTGTTGGACAGATGGACTAATATCTAACTCTATTTTGGAGTCGGATAGTTGTTGCTATGAGGTGCCGATGTGCTGTTCAGTCTACAACCATCCGCCTCTGGTCTCATCTGTCCAAACAATGTTGTTACAGAGGTCTTTGTTATTTTAAAGAATACAAGTTTCCTCAAATGTTCCAAGGAAACATAAAACATGCTGTAAGGTCTGCAGTGGGATATTTATTGACCTAAAAAAGGCATTGGATACAATAAATCATAAAATGTTGCCACATAAAGTTATCTTGATAACAGACAGCAATTTGTACGAATTGATCAGTCTTAATATGCTTCACTGTTACCTGTGGTGCCCCATAAGGCTCAGTACTGGGTATAAGATTGTTTATTATATATGTTAATAAGATATGTTTTGCTTTTGTCACAGCACTTTTCTCTCTAGAAGTCATGGACACAGAGATAATTTATTAAGTTTTTGCTGGTTTTATTGAAAAAAAAAAATCAGTTTCAACCTGAGTTGTAACTTGTGTCAATCTTCTGTGTGCTGCAGGACGGATACTGGGAGTTAACTGTTGAGCTGGGAAAATTGATCAATGTCAACGTGGATGTGTTTGCTAACGTGTTCCTGAAGAACAAAGGCATTCATTCTCTGGGTGAGCGTTCACGTTACGCTCTGTGGAAGAGCTGTTAATGTTAAGACATTCACTGATCTGATTCTTTTTTACTATTTATATTCCAGAGAAAGATTAAAATAAACCTGGTGGTTTTAAATCTCAGACAGTCGTCTAGGTTTGGTTTACTCCAGTGTTGAAACTGAACAACATGTTTACGTTAAAGGTGCAAAGGTCAACGCAGGCATCCAGAGGCTGGTGGCGACTCTGCTGGTTCTGCAGCTGATGAGGGAGGAGAAGCTGGAGGAAGGAAAACTGCTGCAGAGTCTGTTTCACCTGATGGAGCCGACCGGGTCCAGGTCAGAACCCACAACAGAACACATAGACACATGAGGAGAACCCGGCCACACAGACATGAACTCTCACATGGAAATTTAGTTCAGTCGGTCGTAAAAATGATTTTTAAATGACTAATCTGAACCGTCCCAGCAGTGCAGTGCTCTTAGCTTAGCATATGTATACATCACAATATACATTCTTATTGATTTATATATCAAATCTTATATTTATTTTGTGGTCATTTTTAACCTTTCTGCACAAACGTTAAAACAGAAAAAAACATAATGCTAAAAAAAAACACAAGACAAAATAAGTACAAAAATAGACGAGCAATATTTAAATTTCTATCAATCGCAGGAACACAAAGTGAAGCCTGGATAAAGTCTAGATAAAAGCACGAGATTATTACACCTTCACTTTATTACATATAAAGCAGAATTTTTCCTCTACATTCTCTAAAACATATCTCCAAGGAATTCCTGCTAAGTCTGTAGACAAAGTAATTTAAGAAAACATAATCAATCCTTATGTGCTAAACTTTGTTTAATAAATTATGTATATATATATTTTTTAAATAAATTTTTGTGAGTGTTTGCTTCCAGGTGAGTGTTTCTGAATGTTTTCCCCTGCAGGCCTGAGTGCTGGCAGCAGGTGAAGAAGGCAGTGGACTGGGTGCGCTGGGCCGACCGGGAGTATCCGTGCGCCTGCAGCCGGCTGGAGCTCGGCTGGAGCTGGGAGTCTTCCACCCGCCAGCTGCTGGGCTTCGAACGCATTCCCCCGTTCTCACCGCTCATCAGCCTGGAGCTGCAGAAGACCGCAGCGCCGCTGGCCGTCCACTGAGGAAATGATGCAACACTTTCTGAAAGTTGTATATCAGTTTGTATTTTGTTTTGCTTTTTATCTGCTGTTTTTGTGCAAAGAGATCAAGATCAAAATTACATGAAAAAATATTAAAACATGAGAGGAAGGAAGAGAAAGATTCATGTTTCATCCACTTAAACGACACAAAATTAGTAAAACTACACTCACAGATGGATTTATAGAATTAGAAACAAAGCCGTTGTCAATCACAAACTGGAGAACATAATTGATTCCTCAATCTAAACGTCTTCCTTCCTAACAGATTCAGAAAGCCAAACCTTGGTGGTTTGCTTTTATCTTAGAAACTAACAAGAATAGATTAAAATGTGTTTTAATCTATTTGGAGTTTAATTCTTGTATTATAAAACTAATTTTTTGGGAGAAATTAGCTAATTTTTGAACTTGCTTTCAGATATTACTTTCATCTGAAGATGGCTTAGAACTAAAATATGATTTTTCTTTTCTTCATTTTTTTTGTTTTGCAGCAGTTTAAGGGGCCTTTGTTTTTACAAACTGTTTAAACTTGCTTTTATTCATTCCTTTATATATAAAAATCAGCTTTCACCTGGAAATAGTTGCAGGTATTAGAAATACAAACAGCAAAAATAATCTGCACCTATTTTCAGTATCAGTTAATCTAAAGCAACAGTATTTTTCACCATCTATGACAGTTACATGTTAAAATAAAATTTCTGAGGCTCTTTACTCGGTTATTATGTCAGCAATAAATCATCCAAAGGATTCTAGAGGTGGTTTGCTTTTATACATGTTGATTGAGTCTGTAATCATTTTATTCGACTGATTAAAGTAATCTGAAAATGTTTTTTTAAATCTAATTCTTTTGAATGGCATAACAGAAAATTAAATCAACAAAGCTGAAGTTCTGTCCATGTATTTGTTTCAATCATCTCATCTTGTGATTCTCTCATTGAAACTTTGACATTTTCGATGAAGGAACGTATACAAATTATCTGTTTTGAATGCATTTTAATCAACTTCTTGTCTTTGTTTTCCTGTTGTTGTGTTTCAAATTATTTAATTCCTGGATATCAGTGTCTGTTTTTGTTCAATGTGAAATTTATCTAGATCTAAAATAAGATTAGTGCAATGTGTTTATGAATGACAGGGATGTTGGTGCACGGATACGTTGGTAATTAAAGATGCCAACCTATGATTTGTCAGCTCTTGTGTCAAACTAGGTAAATGACTCCCCTCAAAGACTAATTCTCTGAGCTTTAGCATTTTCCAGATTTAAAGAAATGCTTTATAAAATAAAGGGGATAAAGCTGAGACAGGTATTTTTTGTTTCCTTTTAATCTCATGTTATTTCAAAAGTCTCGAAGGTTATATTTCGCGCTGTGGACTGTTGACAGTTGAGGGGGGAAAAAAAGTGGACGGTTGAGAGCTGGCAATTTTTGGTTAAAGGTAACTTTAAGAGTTGTTCCTAAGAAAAGGTATTAACATTTTCATTTGATTTGAATCTCGAGGTATATCGAAAATGTTTCACAGTTATGTTATGGTGCAAAGCTATGTGTATTGTTAGCGAAGTCCCTGTGACCTTTTCCTTAGTACTGAAGTTATGCTAAGCTAGCAGAAATGTTGGAGCAGAGACGGGTACTCGGTTGGTCTGTAGTACATAAAATGCATTCAAGATCGTGTGAGTCTTTCGTTGAAGGCCAGTGATCCAGTCAGATTAGGAATGAATGTGACAATAAGCAGAAACGTCACCACCTTCAGTACCGGAGAAGAGACAATGAAGGGAAACTCTCCACCTGAACATCACCACCAAGCGCAGCACCTTCACCTGTGGTTAGTGCCAAATCCAAGAAGACTTGTACACACCACCAATGCCAACATGTGTGTGTGTGTTTTAACCCCTGTGGGAGACATTAAAGATACTCAGAGTTCACACAGAGTAGTAAAAGGCTGTAGAGGTAAGTTAAATTAACTTAAAGGCCATTTAAAGGTAGTAAAAGGTAACAAACAGGATTTGACTTGGTAGTTTTCATCATCCCTTCAGTATATTTTGACTTGTCCATTTATGATGACTTTTCATATTACATTTTTTTGTAAGGATGGTTTTCAAGAGCATTTGAACAGAGGCAAACCACGTCTGTTCAAATGTGGCCCGGGGGCCTTTGGTGGCCCTTCACACAGATTTTGTGTGGCACTCAACTGCAGTTCAAAAACGATAGAAAATTTGCTCATGCATCACAGGTGCTTGATGAGATGGAAACTTTTTATTTGTAATGCGGCTAATAATTTTCCTTCAATGGAAAATGTTTGTCTGTTTATAACCAATATCTTGCAATAAGTAGGCCGACATTTTTCCCAAGTTTTACTGAAAAGATTACTTTTCTGCACTCAGATTCTGTTATTACTGAAAATAAATTTGCTCAATCAAGCCCAGAAGAAAACGAGCCTAAAACAAACTGAAAACTAGATGCTTCTCTTATAATACAGCAAATGTCCAACGTTCCTTTATATTTATACATCCATTCCGTAACTACCGTTTTTTTACTCTCCACCGTAGTGGTTCCCAAACTTTTTCTCCTGCCTCCCCAGTGGTTTCCAAACTATTTCTGGGCACCCCCATGGCTTACAAATAGCTGTCTGGTTGAACATGTGTGTGAGCGAAGGGGGGGTGGATTCTTAGAGAGTCCCTGTTATACTCAGCCCGGCTCCAGACGAACAAGAGGGGGAACCAAAATGAATCGTAGCTGAACATAGACAACAACACCAGTAGCCTCCAAGCTACTTGTTAACAAGCTTAAGGTTCTGTATTGATATTAGCTAGTCATCTTTTAGCTAACATTACCTGCATCCAACAACTTTACTCAACTCAGTCGGTTAGTTTGGGGGGAAAACTGAAAAGTTCTTTGTGTTTTGCTGGTTTGCTGCCATGATCCTAACACACCTGTAGCTCTGCACAGCAGCAGCAGGTCTCCTTCACTGCCGCACAGGTGGAAACCCAGCGCGAGCGTCTTAGCCATAGGTTGTAGCGCTCGTTACGTTTAAAGGTGGCTCGGAAAAACTGGTTACGACATGTTAACAACAGATTAACATGTCGTAACCTGATAAAAGTGACAGAGGACACAGATATGGGAAGTGCGGAAGCCTCTACTGTATCAAATTGACAGAGGAATAACAGAGTTGGCCATTCTAAGGTACAAACCCAGTGCATACAGCGAACTTGTATTTTGTCTTTTGTTTTTTGTTTTTCATCCAGACTACTTCCCACGCCCCCCTGCAATGGCACGGCGCCCGCCTTAGGGGGCGCGCCCCACAGTTTGGGAACCTCTGCTCTACAGGCAGCATAACCTGTTTGACAACTGCTCAAACAGGTTATGCTTGAGCACAAAAACATTTTTAATGAAAAGAAGTTCAAATCACACTATGCCACGTGACATGGTAAAAAAAAACAAAACAAAACATCGTGCTATTCTTGAACGTTAAAAGTTACTTTTTTACCCGTTACTTTTTTGCACGTTTCTCGTATTTATTTATTCAATGAAGCTTTAGATTGTCTTTTAAGATCTCTTTTCTGTCAGGACTTTGAAAGTCTCTCCAACCGGAAGTTGCCAGTTGTGTCACTTGGCTCCGGTCCAAATAGCTGAAGCACAAATTTCTCCAGAAAGGGCGGGTTTCTGGGCTGTAGTGTTAAATCAGGTGAATAATTCAACCCAAGGAAATAAAGCAAAAATAACCAAGAAAATTTGTTTTTTGGGGGCATTTCTCACAGTTGTTCACAGATTCAGGTGTTTTACAGAAGAAGTTCAGGTTTGTGTTGCAGCTTCACGTCTGTGTTTGTTTTCAACTGGAAAAATTAATCAGATTTTAGTTTTGAAAATATTAGATTTTATCTGAGGTTTGCATACATGCTAAATATTTAGTTTAACTCTAAAGAGGTAGATTTTTGTCATTTTTTCAACCAATGATTTACAATAAGTAGAACCATGTTTATCCAGAGTTGTACTGAAAAAAAATTACTTTTCTGCATCCAAATCAAGTTGGATAAGTTTCGTGCTTTGAAAGAAAGTGTGTTCTTATTACTGAAAATAAATTTGTTAAATTGAGCCTAAAATAAACTGAAAACTAGAAGTCTTTCTTTTAATACAGCAAACATGGAACATTCCTTTTATCTTTTGGATCTTTAGCTAATATCAGTTGCGTAACTGAAGGTTTTTTCTTCTCCAGGCAGAATGGGCGTGTTTGACAGCTGCTCTGTGCTTCTGGAGCTCAAAAACCTGCCTTTCAAACAGAAGAAGAAGCTCAAATCAGTGGCGACGAAGAGCGGAGGGAGCATTTCTTCCACAATCAACAAATAGATGAGCGGATGCATTTTTACCTGAACGTTTGGTAAACTTTCAATGACAGTCTTTAACTGTTAATGAACCAGATAATACAACATTTATAGCACCGGTTATAGGTCTATAATTCTGAATTAATTACAGAACATCAGCTTTAAGTTTGACTGTTAAGCTCTAAAAGCTTTTAAGGCTTTTGGAGCTTTTAAAGCTTTTAGCCTTTCAAAACCTTTATGGTTTTTATAGCCATTTAAAGTCAAGATAACAAACTCAAGCTATAAGCCACTAAAGCTATCAGACTCCAGTTAACTACCTATTGCCGGTGCTGTAAATGTTGTATAATCTGGTTTATTAGCAATGTTACAAAATTTTATTAGCTTTAAATACGGTATATTATAGCTTTTTAGGATGGCAATATTTTGACTGATGGGTTTTAGCTTTATTCTTGGTATGAGTTATTGTTATATTTAGCAGTTATTAGATTTACATTTTGTAGATAATAACTTTACCCTTAGTATACGTTAGTTCTACTTATAATAGTTATCAGTATATTTTAGCTTTACATTGAGTAACTAAGATCTTTACACTTAACTTGACTTTTTTTCATAGTATTTTTGCAAACATATGGAGGAAAATTTGCATTTGAACAGAGTTTATCATTTAATACGAACTCTGCAACTTGGCATGCTGAGACGAACTGTTCTGAATTTATGACATACAAGACTTAGTGAGGACTTCATAATCTACCAAATTGAATTAATATTCCAGATATGGAAATACAGTGTCATATATTTGCCTACATTTCCCACAGTGCTCTCTGGTTGTGGCCTCCGACTTGTCCAAGCTGAGCTCCAACAGGCTGCGCAGCATCCAGAAGAACCAGACGTTGGTGGTCAGCTTGGACTATCTGTACAAACGTGAGCGCCGTTCTTCTGTCAGTGGAAGAGTCGAAGATGAACACTTCATCATCTCCAGGTCTTCCTCCCTGTAAGTCACTGAAGAGAGCTCGGCTAACACATAGAGGTCTAACCAAATACTGCAAATATAAATCCAAACAGAGAGCAGGAAAAACTCAAACTATAAGAAATAAGAATTAGATATAAAATACAGTCATTGCTGAAGGTTTACGGAGTGACAGGGATTTAGTTTCATGATATTTTTACAGCCTTAGTGTTAGAACATTTAGAGTAAGAGAAAGATGTTATGTTTTGGACCTGAGGGTCACCGTAGTGTTTTTATTAAACTATCTTTATTGGAAAAAAGTATTAACTCTAGTTAAGTCTTGGAATAATAATGTGTTTCTGTTTAATGTTGTTTCTGTTTGTTGCAGCCGAACTTCCAAAAGGTCCGACTTCATCAAAGGGACCAGCTGTAGAAAAAAACAATCTGAAGTTCAGGTGGGACCATCATCCTCATCATCTTCACTCCTGACACTACCTCACATCACGATGGTTTTACTTTGAAATAAGTTGAAGTTTTTGTATCTGACTTCCAAAGGCGAGATTTAGACTAAAGCTACAATAATGACTTTCTCAGAAAGATTTCCAGGAATAAAGGGGATTTGTGTGTGTGGGGAGACCGCTAAGCAATAAATTAAATTTGTCAATTTCTTAAAACCGGAAATAAATACAGAAATCATTTATTAAATATAGAATTAATAATATGTACCTCAATTGTTTTATTCATTTTAAAAGTAGCTATAATTCTTGTTCCTGTGCTGAAACACATCATGAGTTAACTTAACGATCAACTCCAGCCATCTAAGGTGGGATTAGAGCCTGACGTCTGATTGGCTCATTCCAACAGAGGCCATTACTGTACTGGGATGTGTTGACTAGTCATCATGTAGCTGACACTGAAATTACTGAGATTCTTTAGAAATTATTGCTCATAGGTTTTTACTTCCTGCTGGCTTGCTGCCATGGATATAACGAACACAGAGGAGCAGTTCTGCAGAGACAGAAGGTCTCTGTTGTTGCCCCAGGTGTAAAATCGGTTCAAGCTTCTCACACTCATGTTGAGTTTAGAGGCAGCGTTAGTGAACCAAGTTACAACATGTTAATAAGGATTAAACCATTATAATAACTGAAAAACGGCAGGAGATAGAGGAGTATGCAGTCCTCTACCTCCTGCCTTTTGTATAAAATAACCATGTTGTTTATTAATACAAAAAAAGGAGAAAATTAGTCATTATGCTCAGACTCGCATAAACGTTAGCAGAATTTTAAAAATCTGTTTCTCATCTCTGAAGTCTATTTCTTTAAATGCAAAATCAATCTACTCAGGTAGTAGTAGTAATAGTTCAAAATATACATACAATATACGTAAACGTATAAAGCAAAACTACTCCTACAAGTTTTTTTTTTCCTTTACCTGAAAACTCAAGCAAATGTAACTGAACTACTCACCTCTGAACACAGATAAAAAATCATTAGTTTATTCTTGTTAAGCTTAGCGTGATATACTGGTATACTAACTAGTCATCATTTAGGCAACATTAGTCAAGTTATAATTTATTATCAATTCATCATATGTGCTAGACATACAAATAATCAAAATCATGTTTCTTGCCATCCCTCTGTCAAACTTAAAACTTGGGCATGACAATAAATAAGAACAAATTGTAAGGAAGTTTTCCATAATCCAAATAAAAACACAACAGTAGTATTAAAAATCCCATAAACCAGTTGCCATATACAATTTCAAAAAACACAAACTATTACACAGTGCAATAAAATATTCTTTCGATAATAGTGAAACACTGAGCCAATCAGAGAAATGCACATTTTATTTAGGAAAACAGAGTAATAGCAAAATCATTTATTCTCAGGGATCAAGCTAGAGAGAGGTAGAGAAGGGAGAAGTGAACACATAAAATTCTCTTTAATATCTTCTTCAGTCACAGACACAGCACTTCCCATCCAGCTCCCTCATCTCACGGAGACGTTTTCTCAGGCTTCGTTCAAAGAAACCGAAACCTTGTTAAAGCAGTGGTTCCCAAACTTTCTCTCCTGGCCCCCCCCAGTGGTTTCCAAACTATATCATGTTAACAACGGATTAAACAGTTTTAACTGCTGATAAAAGTGACAGAGGAGACAGATATGGGAAGTGCGGAAGCCCCTACTGTATCAAACTGACAGAGGAATAACAGAGTTGGCCATTCTAAGGTAAAACCCCAGAGCACAGGGTTCATGGGTTTGTTTTGTTTGTTTTTTTTCATCCAGACGGCTTTCCCCCCCCCGCCCCCGCCCCTGCAATGGCACAGCGCTCCCCCTAGGGGGCACTTTCCACTTCAGTAACAAGAAATGAAAGTTGTCATTTAACCCTCAACTCATTAATTTACCCAGAATCTACAAGGAGTCGGACTCTGCTCTCCCGACGTTCCCCGATGATTTCCAGGTGGCGAAGTACTCCGTTTTCGGACAGGTGAGGAAGAAGTTTTATCCTCCATTTCTGTTTTGATGCTGGGATTCGTACTGATGGAGGTTTGTCTGCAGGAGAACGGCAGCAGGTTTTGCGTGTTGGAGCTGCAGAGCGCCAAAGGCGAGCAGGGACGGCGCTACCGTGTGGCCAGATACCGGAAGGACAACGTGGCGTCGAAGGTATGAAACCATAGACATGTAAAAAGATTAATGTCTATGTGTGAAACCATTAAGACATCAGACAGATCATGAGCTTCATAAATATTTATTATTTATTATGCTAAGAAAATAATAAATAAATGTTGCAATGAAGTCCTAAGTTATAACTATTCTCGTATTATTACAACTTTATTATTGTGTTATTACAAGAATATGTTATATTACAACTTAATTCTCATAATGCTATGAATTTGTTCTTGATTGACTTTAATCTCGTCCAAGTTTATTCTTGTAATTTAATTTTTTATTAGTATTGTCCTAATTCTCCATCATACTATCAGGGCTTATGTGTGCAAAATGGATACATAGGCCTGTCCCAATAACAAATTTTGCTGGGTGATTAATTGTCCCAGAAATTATTGCGGTAAACAATATTGTTTATTGCAACAAGCCTATGGATACAGTAACATTTTCAGTAGGATTACAAACAGGTATTTCTTTAACGTTTCTGCTTTTTGTCTCCCAAATTAACCTTAAAATCATGTTGGAACAAAACAAATCTGCAACTGTTTTCCAACAGGAGGCGGCTGTGATGGATCAGCTGGTGTTCCTGTCCACCTCAGAAGAAGCTGTGGACGTTTACAAGGAGCTGAGTGAAGAACTGGAGCGCTCTGAGCTGCAGAGGATGAGCAGCTTACCTGCTGAGGCGCCACACCTGGGCTCCGCCCCCCTGGAGCAGGTCTGATACACGCTGCACCACATGTGACATTATGTGACTTGTTTGTGTGTGGAAAATTAATCATGCATCAGCCAAATGTGTTGCCATCCCTGGAGAATTAATTGTTTACACTGCATGGCAGAAGTATTCAAACCCCTTGAAATCATTTTTTGTGGTGTTTTCATGACTGATTAATGCAAAGTGGTGCATAATTGTGAACAAGAAAGAATACAAAGTTCTTTTGTAAAAATTTTTTACAAATAAAAATATAAGAAAATGTAGGCTGCATTTGTATTTGACTGGAAAGTATCTAAAATCTGGTTCTTTAATATAAGTTTTTATAGTGCATATTATAGTGGTAGTGGTAGATGGAACATCTACCACTGTGTCAGAGGTTTGCTCTATTACTGCAAGGAGCGGAGCCAGTGTCATTTAAATTGCTTCTCTGTTTGCTCGTCATTTTCATGGATGGGTGTAAACGTTAAGTTGGGGCGTGGCTTTCAGCAGCTTATTTTTTAAAAGGATTTTTAGGCTCTAGTGGCCTCTATTTCAAAGTAAACTGGCAGGAAAGTGGGTTACGTAAGAGAAGGTAAGGTAATTAAATTTATGTTGCACGTTTTCAGCAGCAAGGCAATTCAAAGTGCTTTATAGAAGTAAAAAGGAAATACAAACCAAAGGAAAGAGCAAAAGAAGAAGAATCTGAAGTATATATGCTAAGTGCTCTAGTTGAGGGTTACTAAGTATCCTCAGCTCTATTTCCATATAAGGGTTTGAAGAACACGAGTGTGAAAAATAGTCTAACAATGTTGATCCAAAAGTCCACAGTTTCTAAGTAGTTATAAAAACAAAATAAAAACTAAACAACAGAGAAGGAAGACGTAGTAAAGGTCAACTGGCCGGGACCTGAACCCATAACAGCCGGGTATGGGCCTCATCATAAGGGTCCTGCGCTTTACTCCTGCATCACCGGCGCGCCCAGCAGCAGCTTATTTGGATTTAAAGGGACCCAGAAATGGCTAAAATCTCATTACCTAAGAATCATTTTGTGTAATAAATGCGATTAACATAATTTGTATCAGCCATCAACCTTTTCTAACCTGTTCCAGGAAGCAATTATAGGTCACCTTTAATCCCCTTCTGACCCTGATGTTTCTGACCTTCTCTCTGAATGACCTTCAGCTGCTGCTGGAGGAGAAGCTGAACTCCGGTGAGTTGTCCCCTGACGTTGCGGCGTTTGTGGAGTTTCTGTGGACCGAAGCTCACGGTTGCCTTGGAAACATCCTCAGAGTTCCCATCTCCGGTCTCAGCCTGAACGATGTGGGTTTGCACCGATCTGCAGTCAGATCAGGGTCAGATCCGAGGCTCCGTCCTGATGAAGCTGTTGCTGTTTCAGGTGAGCAGAACTGAAGGCCTTCTGCTTCAGGCTCAGAGGAAACTGAAGGAGGGAAACGAGGATGAGGCTTCGTCCCTCCTGGACGAGGTTTTCTTCCTGCTGCCTCACCGGGAGCCCAGACCTCAGTCACCTACGGCCAGGTTTCTGTCTCAGAAGCTGGACCTCTGTCAGGTAACACCAACACGCAGCTTTATGGTGGGATGTTAGGCTCTACTGGGAGAACTTCACTGATTTTCTTCCAGTTAATCCGAGATGTTCTGAACGTGAGTGAGATGACCATGAACGACCCGAAGCCATCCTCTGTGGGGAAGTACCGCGCTCTTCGGTGCGGCATGGAGGCTGTTCCCCGGGGCAGCTCAGAGTTCCAGAACATCGCCGCCCTGCTGGCTGACAGGTCCATCTTTAAAATGATAAACTACAGATAATCATCACAAACCTTTCTGGAAAGAAAACAACAAACATCTCTGTGTTTCCAGACCAGTGGAGATCCAGCAGATCATGCGTGTCAGCAGAGCGGTGGAGCTTCTAAGGTTTCAGAGCGAGATCGGGAACGTTACGCCCCTCCTCCACGCATCCAGCCCCAATAACTTTGTAGGAATCTTGTCCAGGTGAGTCCCAGCAGAGTCCTGAGACAGAGAACACAGTTTACAGCTGATAGATACTGAAAAACTCAAGATTTTAAATGACATAAAAGGGAAGAGTCATGTGATCTACATTTAACGTGATAAATTTCTGACTTTAATAATTTTGATTTATCATTGTCATGATAAATTCCAGTTAATGTTTAAAAAAATTCCCTATTATCAGCATTGTTAGCTTTCCTATTTTTTCCACTGTTTGTTCAAGAAAAACACCAATAAATTTGAAAATACAACTTAAATGCAGTTGTAATTTCATCTTAGTGATATAAATCACACTTCTCTATGTGACTGGTGTACCAAAGAAATGCATTAGTGTTTTTCAAGAGCAGGACTTGTGTTTGTGGGGCTGTGAAACATTTATAAACACTGACCTTTAGGAGCTAACGATTCAAGATAGTATACCGGGGCGATATGACTTAAAAATAGTCTTTTGTCCAAACCAAATCCAGTTTTAATCACTTTTTTACATTTATTTTACTCACTTTTTTCTCAGAAAGAAATTACAATTGAATGTGAGTTAACCTGAATTAACAGTCACAATGAACAGAAGCCTTAAAGCACGCTTGTCGAACAAAATGTGAATTTTTGGGTGGGATAAAATCACTGTGAACTATGAAAACTCAAGGAGTGCATTGGTGAAAACAAATCCAGAGTTTCCACAAATTAAATGTTCAAAAACAGATAATTTGTTTTATTGCCCAAGATAAATTCTCAGACTCCTGGATCAGTCATTTCATCCATTCACAGCTATCAGAACATAGTGAGTCTGATTGCTGAATATCTTATCACGTTTTGTTTCTTTTAAAAACGACTTCGATCCTGTATCTGGTTCCACAGAGGTCTGCTGCTTCCCCGTGTTGTAGTGGAGCAACTTGGGATTAAGAGAACGGACTACGGGAGACTTGGCAGTGGGATTTACTTTGGTGATGCTGTGAGGTTGGTTTGAATAAATGTTCAGCGGTCTTGTATGTTTGTTGGTGTGAAAACGATGCTTGGATAGTTTCAGACATTCTGGTTGGCCTGCTGTGCTCTGGGCTCTCTCTGTGTTCTCAGCACCAGTTTGAATTACGCCAAACCCAGTGAAACGGACGGATCGCGCCTCCTGCTGGTCTGCGATGTGGCTCTGGGAGTTTGTAAGGACCTTAATGAAGAAGACAAGACTCTGACCGAGGCTCCTCAGGGCTACCACAGCGTTCACGGAGTCAGACAAACCAACAAAACTACATCTGAATTCACCAACCCTAAGCTTCTGTTCAAGGTGGGAACAGAAGCTGCATATCCATCACATGTTCAGCATGTTAAAATTCTGCTGCACCCTGAGGAAACTGATTTCTGTTTTCTGTCTGCGCTGCAGGATGATGAGTATGTGGTTTACTCTCTTGACCAAGTGAAGATGAAATATGTAGTTCAGTTCAGAGTGGAAGGAGACGAGCAGAAGGACTTCAGTCCGGACATCAACCTGACTGCAGAACCCATTGAGCCTGCCAAGAACCCAGGTGAGCTGCAGATACCTGACATTAGGTTGCCATGACGACAGCACATAGCTTTTCTTCCTGGATATGAATGAATCTCTCTGCCTTGAGATTACTATTCTGTAGCTAGGAAACTGAAAACAGTCATTTATTCTTTAGTTTTTTTACACATGTAATTCTTGACTTTAATCCAACGAGTTCAGATGAGTTACGGTTCTTAAAAATAAAGTTTCCTGATTACGGTGAATGTCGCAGTAACCATAAGTCTATAAATAATTTTGTAATTAAGAAGTGTTAGTGTGTTTTTGCTTTGGGTTCATAGCAAACATTGACCTGTGATAATTAGTAATCCATCTAGTTTCTGGAAAAAATAAAATTAAACATGAAATTTAGTACTTTTGATGTCTTAAACCAGTTTTTATTTTTGTGTAGTATCTGCTTTTTTGCTTTCAAACACATTCCAATCTGAGAAGCCACTGTGTCTGTCTGCAGATCTCACTTCAGAACTTGTAGAAGAAGATCTAGAAAACGTGAAGAACCCCCTGAAGCGCATTAAAGCTGGACTGTTGGACAGCTCAGGTCAGCGGCTCCCCCTGCAGGCCGTCCATGTGAAGTGCAAACTGATGGATCTGCTCTCCCAGGTTGGAAAGAGAACCGCCTGGATCAGCTTGGTGTCGCATTAATCCTGGTTCTGGATCTAATTCAGACTTTTTCCTCTGTCAGGTCATCATCTTCCAGAAATACACCAATCAGAGCTCAGTGCCCATCGAGGCGAAGTACGTCTTCCCACTGGACTCGGCTGCTGTGTGCGGATTTGAAGCTTTCATCAATGGGAAACACGTGGTGGGAGAGGTAATCTGAAGCTACATATTTAGATAAATATTTCACAAAGCAAAATACAACCTCATTTAGAACTGGACAGAGCTGACACAGTTCAACCCACTATTATCTATTATTTACTGCTATTTTCAGAATCCAAAACAATAGGAAATAATTCATTCCTTTAAAAAAAGGAATGAAAAGTAATAGCTCAACTAATAAAAAATATAAACAAAAGTCCTGAATGCAACATAATGTTGGATCATGTTTGGACAAAAAAAAAAAAAAACACTGCCAGATGGTCCAGAAATGGACAAGCATTTATGTCTTCTTTTGTGAGCAAACAGTAAAAAAATAAAATGAAATAAATTTATGTTCCTCATATAACATGTTGCATATAAGCAATATTGAATATATTTTAATACAGTATTTATTTTTTATATAGATTTTTTTTTAAATACAGCATTAAAAATATTAATGATTGGGGCGGGGTTTATTTATAAAGTCATAAGTGCTGTCCAATGGGCACACATCAACCAACCAATCACATGTCAATGATGAACTGTGATGTCATTGTTTTTCATCCAATGACTGAGAATCCACGTGGGTGTGCTGAAGCGCCTTTGCATATCCATAGCTATTCGTATGCTAAGTAGAGCCGTTAACACCTCCCGCTCCCCCGCACCGCAATCGACAGATTTCGACACTGAAAATGCAGACTGTCGATTGCTGTCAGTATCTGTCGCTCACGAGCTGCGTTCGCGTCAGAATACAGGGTCAAAAATCCCACTTTTCACGCAGTGCCATCTAGATCCACCCCTGGGCTGCAGGTCTATGTCTGACAATAATAATACATTAAATGACACCTGAATGCTGCATTTATAAAATATATTAGCATTTCAAAAAAAAAAAAAAAAAACATACAGCAAACCCTAACAAACCTTTTAAAATAGGAAATATTCATGTATTTACTGTTAATCTGTTTGTATAATTTGTTCTTTAAATGATCATTTGTATTATTTTGGTTGATATTATTATACATTAAAAAGCAAATAATCATAGCAAAAATGTTCTGTACCATATCAGCCTCAGGAGATGATTGAGGGATGAAGAGATGCTAATGTCAAGTTTTTTATGTTCTGACGGGATTGCAGTTCCTCTCCTGATCCATTCTGTCTATCATACAGCAGCACACTGCGCCACGATGTCTGTGTTCATCCTCACTAACACTATTCAGCCTGGGATTTGCGTCTTCTCTCTCACGTCTGTATGTTTACAAGAAGTTTTACTTCTAAGGACGGTGGAGAATCGGGTCGAGGACATTTTAAAAAGATCCGGGTTGATAGCAGCTCACCGCGGCTGCATAGTGTCCGTCTCTAGGCAACCGTGACAACAGCATCGGTTCGTAGCTTTCTTGGGGGCCCTTTTGCTCCCGCCACAACAATTTAACTGACCTTTGTGCTGACAATTTAGTGTTGATATTTGTGTGATAGATAAATGTGTCTATCGGACATTTATAGAAATACGGTTCAATATGGAACGCAACATTTGACAGCCAAATACGAGACGATTCCGTATTTTAAGGACGGGTGGCAATCCGAGTTCATGGGGGAATAGTCGCAGCTCACGGTGACCAAACCCTTTGAGCTGTGGGGAGGTTATATTTAATTTATTTTTTTTTTTTTTTTTTTTTTTTTTTAAGCATGAAAATCCCATTGAATTATATTATATTTTTTGTTCGTGACTCGGCACTGAGCTAGCTGCTAACAACATTAGCACTCTGAGGACAACCACGCTAGGGCATAAAAATAATATATCTTACCTTACATATGATTGCTTGTCTTTCTCAGTAACTGTTTAATAAAACATCTGAATATACAATTTAAACGATGCGATTGTTTCCTGTTAGAAGGTGGTCGCTGCCTACTCTGGCATTGTTAGTTTCTGCACCTCCTGTTTTAAGCTGTAAATTGATCCACTTTTCTCCTCTTTTTTTCCGTAAGTTTTTTTTTTTTAAATTACCAACTAACTTTGAAACACAAAAAATAATGTTTATCTTTCTCTATTAGAACTGTTGGAGCAACCGTAAAGGACTCAGACTTTAGACATGTTGATGCTGGGTCAACAGAAATAAATGGGCTGAATTTAGCACCTTCGTCATTGGGTGACGAAGGTGCTACGTCATCTGAAACCCAGCAATTAGCTTATTAAATACATCATTAAGTATTTAAGGGGCGGCATCATGTAAAGTCTACTTTTTTGATCTTTGCATCATGTTATAATGTTATACCCTCATCAGACATACCTGAAGTGTTTTCTTGATTCTTTCATGGATGTTTGCGAAATGCTTTAATTTCCATGGCAACCGTGCAGCTGTGCAAAACCCCTGGGTGGACCTAGCCCCGCCTTCAGGGTGCAGCTCCTCCTTGGAGCTGCAGTTTCCAAGCTTCCGACTCGTAGAGCAGCCCTCTTCTGCGACTCCTCCACTCCTTCAGATTAGCCAGCAGCAATTAGTAAACACCTGGTGGAACTGCACACCAGCTGAGCTCATAAGCGACTTCTCAGTTCTCAGTTCAGTTCTCAGTTCTTCTTCAGTTAAAACAGTTTTAAATGGTTAATAGAGGACCCGTGTTGTGAGGATTTCCTAAGAGCAGAATTTCAGAAAGAGCAGAAGTTTTTAAAGAGACAGACGTGCAATTTGAAGTTGTTAAATTACAAAGTCAAATTTCTTTGAAATCATGTTTGATATGTATAGTATTTACATAATAATAGAAAGTAACAGTTACTTGATTATGCTATAAAATGGCACGCTTGGAAAACAATACTGCCCCTTTAAAATGCTAAATAAATGTCTTAATAGTTAACTATTTTCATGGTTCTTGTTTCATGCCTATCAAAGGGGGTGTGGGCGGGGCTTACATGATCTGTTGAACTCCACTAGTTTAGCCACATTCTTTGAAAATCATGGCCGTCTTTGTAACAAAGGATTTTCTTTAGCTTTCCCATCGAAGGAGAGATTTTACAATTAGCATTCCACATAGAAGCAGATTATCATCTGACATGGTGGATAACCTTACATGTTTTAGCATCTTGGGTAATAAAATGTTTATTTTCTTATTTAAAATAGGAACTCAGTTATTTGTTTGTTTGCATTTTTTCAATTATAGTGCAAAAAAGGTTGAAGTGGTTAAATTGAAATTCTTCAGAATATGATTAATTTTCAGAATAATTGAATACTAAAATAGTCATTAGTTGCAGAAGTAATTGAAACCCACTCCACAAATAAACTTTGTTATACATAAAGTAATGAGAAGAACCACCAATGTGTGCCTAAAGTTCTGTACAGAATATGACCTCAACTCTTGGTTGGGACTCTTTTGCATCAATTATTGCATCAATGCGAGGTATAGTGGAGTTTTAATGGAAGCCCAGGTTCTATTTAATTTGACCGTTCTGCTGTGTTTTTGTTCTCAGGTGAAGGAGAAGGAGACGGCTCGTAAGGAGTACAAACAGGCGATAGCAAAAGGCCATGGAGCATACCTCATGGACCAGAGCGCTCCTGTATGTCCAGCAACATCCTGATGGTTGCAGGAACGTATCCCAGCCTCTCTGATTGGTTCCTCTCTGCAGGATGTGTTCACCATCAGCGTGGGCAACCTGCCGCCCGGCGCCACCGTCCTCATTAAGGTGACCTTTGTGTCAGAGCTGGTGGTCGAAAACGGGAGCATCCTGTTCTCCCTGCCGGGCAGCGTGGCTCCATGGCAGAAGAGCTCCGCCCTCAACGAGACCACACAGGTAGGGGGCAGAGCCTGTAAATGGTAAATGGACTGAACTTATATAGTGCTTTATTCAATCATTTTGACCACTCAAAGCGCTTTACACTAGAGTCACATTCACCCATTCGCACTCACAAACGCTCACACATTTATACACTGATACACAGATTGGTAGGCAATTTGGGGTTAAGTGTCTTGCCCAGGGGCACATCGACATGTGGCAGGAGGAAGCTGGAATCGAACCTACAACCTTCCGATCGCAAGACGACTACTCTACTCACAGAGCCTGTACTGAGAGGCGGGCCTTTTATTTAGGAGCACAATGATTAGCACTGTCAATCAGTCTCCATGAGGCGCTGCTCACACCCCTCCCTGCTTTCTGCAGCGAACAGAGCCTGTCACAAGTGCTCCAGCTAGTTAGCATAGCCACTACACGGTTTTCCTTTAATAGTAGCGAGTGCCCTAGCGAGTGGCTAAATGCCACTCCTAAAAAATAAGTCTCCTAATGGCTGCTAAACGCCATTAGGAGACTGAGCAGTGAGTACATGAGGGTGATTGACAGCGCTAAGGCACTCTTCCTGGTTCTGATTGGGTGTTTTTGGTTTAGAGCAGTGCATTTATTCAGATAGTAATAGTAACTCAGGGAGGATGTGATGGATTTTTTCCACAAACTGTTTCATATCATTAAACTGTCACAAAATGGTGACAGTTTTAATAAGTATGTAAAAAACATGCTGTTACATGCTGTAACTTTAAGCATCCCATTTTAAATAATCACAGTTGAGTTAAATGAAAGTCTTGCTTTAAATTAGTGCCAAGTTATATAAACTTAGTTATAGTTATATGCATGCCCGGTATGAGGGAAAGTCAACGACACAACGCAGGCGACTCTTGCTACGTCCAGGAGGCGTGAATGTTGCAACTCAATGACTCGATGAAATCTGCTGGGTTTCCCTAGATAGAAAATTTTTAAACTTTTTTGAATAAATATTTAATCTTATTATATTGTGTGATAACTAGAATCAACTGGAATGTATGTGACTGAAATTATTTTTGTAAAGTGTCTTGAGATGTCATTTGTTGTAAATTTGCATTAAATAAGTAAACTGAATTGAATGAAAGAATGAACTTGTAAGACTAAAGTTGGACTAAAATTTGACATTTGACAGGGTTAATTATAGGCCTTGTCTTTAAAGCCTTTTCCTCTGTGACTTTACAGGGTTTTTTCTATTAACTTAGTGAAATAAGTCACAGATGATGGGACCTACACCACCATGACTTAAATGTCTTTTGTTTTGTTTTTGTTGAATATTTTGGATCTAAATCAACAATCACTCTTTATTTTCTAGCTTTTTTGGAAACTACAGTTTCTCCTCTTTTTGCCTGTCTTTAGGAGATATCTACTCTTGGCTACATGTTTCGTCCTCTCAGGACATTTGTCATCAATATGTGTGTCTAATCACCTGATGTTTTCTATTTTGCTTAAATTCATGTGGGATAATTTTGAACTAATCAAAATTTTTTGACTAGATTTCATCATTTTCTCAGATACTCAATGTGTTTTTCTTCACAATCAGAACGTAACTTCAGTTAGACCACAATGAAGAATAAATAAATAAACAGCATGAAAATAAATGTTTCTTCATATGTTTTTACTTCTTCTGAAGAGCAGTATAATCAGTTGTAAACATTTTTACTGTAGATGTGTTTTTTTTCCCACAAAGAACGGGCATTACAGTTCTTTCATTTGGTCAATTTAGGAATTATTGTATATTAAAACCTTGATATTGTTAATAGGAGAATGTTTTATGTGTTCTCTAACCCTACAGGACTCTTTGAAGAAAGTTTGTGTGGCCAGTGAAGCAGTGAGGTGAGAATGATTGAATTTATTTTTTTAACTCATGAAGTTACTGATATGTGGAGCAATTAATCAGTTTTCTTGTTGGGACCGTTGGATTTGGATTCTTTAACCTTTAACGTTTTTGTTTGGTTAACTAAATGTGTTGTTTCTTCTGGTCTTCAGAGAGTTTACGTTGGACATGTCGGTGGAGATGCCCTTTGAGATCTTGAGCCTGACGTGCATCACTCATCAAGTCAAAATTAAGGTGATGTTTCTGTTTTGTTACATAATCTGCAATTTAATCTTTTTTCTGAGTTATATGATGTATTTTTGCAAATTTTTACCCTTTTAACTTGTTTCTTTAAAGTGAATCTTCATTGTCATCCAGTTTTTATTTTTATGTAACTCATTTTGTTTGCATTCTGTCGTCCAGAGGATGGACTGTAAGGCGGTGGTCAGTGTTCTGCCGGGTCAGGTCATGGGGTCAGATGGTTTCCAGATGTCTGTCACTCTCTCTGAGGTTCATCTTCCCAGAATGTGGGTGGAGAAACACCCAGACAAGGATAGCCAGGTCTGTTTGTCCTTCCCTCTTCCACACCAATCTGTTTTCAAAGAGTCCCTGTACTGAACCCTGAGGCACTCCACACTAAGTGAATTAACCCTCTACTCTGCTGCAGGCCTGCATGCTGGTTTTCTACCCAAACTTTGAGTTTGACTCCAGCTCTGAAGGCAGTGAAGTTGTTCTTTTGCTGGACACGTCTGAGTCCATGAAGGGAGAATCGTTACAGCTGGCCCAGAAAATCGCCCTGCAGGTTTTAAAGAATCTGAAGAACGACGTCAAAATCAACATCGTTTTGTTTGGAACAGGTTGGTATAAGAGCAGAGAACTGGTCAGAACTGAACTCTGACTCATTGTTTAATTTTGGGACTGGATATTAAACCATATAAATCAAAACGTGATGCAGTTGTATGTTTCTGAGACTTTTCTGTCTGTTGTTTCCACGAATGCACATTTCACTTCCAAAATAACAGGTTACGTTCATTGAACATGGAGTTTATATAAACCACCAACTGATCTTCATCAACCTGGCTTTGTTTTCTCTTGATTCGTCTTGTTTTTGGTTTTCAGATTACAAAGAAGCTTTCCTGACGGCTCAGAAGCTAGACGAGGTTCAAGCTGAAGCCATGAAGTTCATCAAGGTGAGTTCAGACTCTGAGAGGGGAGAAGACATGCAGAAAAGGTCAACAGGCCTGGACTCGAACCCATGACAGCCGTGCCAAGGACTGAAGCCACTGTACATGGGTCAACGCTCCACCCACTGCGTCACTGCTGCACTCAAGTTCAAATTCTTTAACTTCAATTTCAATTCTTTAAGTTTTTATTTGAAGAAAGTGCTCAAATTATAAAAATTTGATGGTTAAATTAATCAAATTTAGCTTATAAGCTAAAATTAAAAACACATACTTATATAAATTCCATAAAAATCTAAATTTTTGACATTGATGAACTATTTATATTAATCGTAAGAAATCCTTTAATCTCCATGGCAACCATTCAGATGTGCAAAACACTTGGATGGACCTAGCTCCACCTTCTAGGTGCAGCTCCTTCTAAGAGCTGCAGTTTCCAAGCTTCTGAGCTTCAGTCTCACAGAGGTTCCCTCCCGTGTGACTCCCCCATTCAGCTCCTTCAGCCAGCAGCAATTAGCAAACACCTGGTGGAACTGCACATCTGTTGAGCTCGTTATAGGAGCTACTTCTCAGTGCAACGCTGGTAAAAACGTTGTGAAAGGGTTAATGGAAGAGTGATGTTATGACATCCTGATGGCAGAGTTTCAGAAAAATCTGGAGTTTCTTAAAGAGACAGAGGCCCAAATTTAAGAAAGTAAAATTTCTTTTAAATCATATTCAATATATACAGCATTTTTATAACAATTGTAACATAGTTACTGGATTCTCCTAAAAATTACACCATGAGTCTGGAAAACAGATAATACTGCCCCTATGACCTTTATTTAACCAGCTGGGTTATTAAGAACAAATTTGTATTTACAATAACCACCTGGTGGGAGGGAATAAAACATAGGAAAATAAAGACTAGTTAATCCAAAACTGTACAAAAATAAATCATTTGCTACAAACAATAAAGCATACACTAAAGAATGCTGTACTATTGTGTTTTATGCATTTTTTCTTATTTCTTATTCAAAAAGGTTATCAAATTATTTGTTTATTTGCATCTTCAATGTATTTCTAATTTTTATAATAATGACTGAAGTGGCTAAATTAAAAATCTGCAAGATGTTCCCAATTCCTTTTATCTGATTAATCGATTAGTCATCAAAGTAACTGATTAAACATTCACTTACTAAAATAATCATTAGTTGCAGTTCTACTTGGAATTAAAATGTATTTCCAAACTTTACCAGTAATTCTCTTCTGTCTGCTGTTAGAGCTGCTCTTCAGTAGGGGGCAGCACTGAGCTGTGGCGGCCTCTCCGGGCGCTCAGCCTGCTGCCGCCGTCCGCCGGCCTTCGGAACCTGCTGCTGCTGTCGGACGGCCACATCCAGAACGCGGCGGCCACCCTGCAGCTGCTCAGAGACAACGCCCAGCACAGCCGCCTCTTCACCTGCGGCTTCAGGTGAGGAAGGTCTTCATCCTTCGCTTCCTTTTCATGTTTAGTTTCCCTTCAAACCAGGTGAAGTGGCTGTGTTTGTCATTTCAGCTCCACAGCCAATCGCCACATGTTGAGAGCCCTGGGTCAGGCAGGGGGCGGGGCTTATGAGTTTTTTGACTCTAAGGCGAAGCACACCTGGGCTGAGAAGGTGAGACTTTATAATTTACATGAAAAAAATCATATCCAGCCTGCCAAAGCTTTTTCATTCGCATCCTTAAAAGTCTTAAATTTATGTATCTAAAATTAAGGCTTGAAAATGTATTGTATTCATTTTTAAAAAGTTGGACTTTAGCACGTTAATGACAGATCTTAAATTTTGTTTTTACAGAACTATTTAATCATATTTTCTATGCAGGTTTTTTTTCTCACTGGACTTTTCTGTCAGGCAAAAGTTTTAGTCTGACTCACAACTACATTGTGTTTGACTGAATATTTGTGGCTGCTTTGTTAGCATAGCTCTATACTTAGCTAGCTTTTTTTGCTTCTATAATGGGTAAGTGCAAATTTATCGCTATTTGGCTGGACGAAGTTCATGCATTTCTTTTTCTTTTTTTTTTCTTTTTTTAGATTTTTATTAATTTAATTTTTCAGCAGAGCAAAGTACAGCCATACTTCAGTGGTACATAATACAAATGTTGACAATAGAAGTTCATGCATTTCTGTATGAACTTGCTGTTCCTGTATCTCTTATGGAGATGCAGGAACAGAATTTCATTTCATTAAATTTCATTCATAAAGTCTTAAATTGGAGATAGTGAAACCTGCAGAAACCCTGTTTTTATTTGGCCCTTTAGGCTCCAGTCAGCAAATTTGAGTCCTTTGAGTTTTTTTTGCAATTCCGCAAAATTAACAAATCTCTGCATTTTTTTTTCACATGAATGCATAATTGTGAATTTATTGAAAATGTTCCACAAAAATGGCCAAGAATATTGGGTTTTCCTCCTGTAGGTGGCAGTATTTCTTATTTTTAGGACATTCTTGCCACAAGCTTATTGATGTCAAGTTATAGTTCCTGAGCAATTAATAGTTACATTAACATCATGCAAAAGCAGAAATATTGCAAAATTTCTTGTAAATATTTCAAAATTAGCACCATTAGCAATGGTTATTTTAAAAGTTTGTTAAAACTGTTAAACAAAGTGGATGTGCCTAAATGTGTCGACTTGCTTCATTTTACATGGAAAACATTCATCATGAAGGTTAATTTGAGTCTTATCAGTTGAACTGGAGACATTGTGATACCTGAACATGCTGTGGCTGCAGGTGGAGCGCCAGGTGAAGCGCATGTCGTCTCCCGGCTGCAGCTCCGTCTCTGTGAAGTGGCAGCAGTTCAACCCCAGAGCTCCTCCAGTTCAAGCCCCGAAGCAGCTGAACTCCCTGTTCAACGACTGCCACACGCTGGTTTACGGCTTTGTGCCCCACTGCACTCAGGTATTCAACTGGTTCTTCTTCTCTGCTTTACCTGCTGGGCCAGGTNTGTTTAATTTTGGGACTGGATATTATTTAAAACATCCAAATCAAAATGTGAACCAGCTTTATGTTTCAGAGACTTTTCCCAAATTTGCACTGTGAATTCCAGAAACACACCACCATCATACAGGTTGCTTTCCTTGAACTTGCAGGACACTTTCCAAAAAAATACGTTACTCTCCCAGAACGTAAGGGTTTCTTTCCTAAGACTTGTAGATTTCTATTCTCAAACTTGCAGGTTACTTTCCATGAACTTGGAAATTACTTTCCGTGAAGTTATAGGTCACTTTTCTTCAACTAACTAATTGCCATCCTGAGAGAATTTCATATAACCTTCAGCATACAAAATGCACTGTCTAAAAGTTTCCTGTAAATAATTTAAAAGTTGCAGAAAGTTGTTGGTTTATTTAGTTGCTACATTCAGGAGCAACCACCATCTCCTCTCCATCAGCCTGACTTGGTTTTTTGATTTGTCTTGTTTTTGGTTTTCAGATCACACAGAAGCTTTCCTGTCGGCTCAGAAACTTGACGAGGTTCAAGCTGAAGCCAAGAAGTTCATCAAGGTGAGTTCAGACTCGTTAGCAAGGTTTTTATTTGGAGAAAATGCTCATAATTGTACAAACTAATGCTTTATTTTTAAAGGTATTTTAATTTTAGCATTTTTAATTTTTAAAAAGCTGCTCTGGTTTTAGTTGCAATGATTAGCTGTATTTCAAACTAATGTTGAAACCAGATATTGATATGAATTGCATAAAAAGCTAATTTTTCATAGTCTGTCATTAAATCAGACAAAAATATTTATATTTTAAGTTACTTTGGATCATTATTATTTTTAGATTATTTGGATTGTAAATGCTTTTAAAAATAACTCAAACTCTAGCATTTGGTACTCATTAGATGATGATGTCATGGCTTTGTAAGGTTCTGATAGGTCAGTTCAAAACATTTGAGGTGAATGGAGGGAAAATCATAAATATAAATAATTTTGGTAAGCCTAACTGAAATATTCAGTCTGAATATGGGAATGTGTTTTTTCTTTGTTATTTTTTTAAATTATAATTTCTGATTTTGGAATTAAAGCTGAACGACTAATTGTCTTGATCGTGATTAATTGATTATTGAAATAATTGTCAACTAATTTCAGTCATCGATTAATCATAAACTAGAGAACACAAACTGTAAAAAAGACAATTTGCTGGAAGAGCAATATATTAATAATAGCAATGAAACCATAACTGTGCAAAAATCTATTCTTTGCTATAAATAACCAAGCATGCACTAAAGACATGCTGTGTTATCGCATTTTAGGTAATAAATGTTAGTTTTCTTATTTAAAAAAGGAATTTAATTATTTCATTTGCAGCTTTTATTGTATTTCCAATATTGTGTTGGAAATACAATATAGTAAAGTGGTTAAATGAAATAAATGATCAATGTAGAAGGAAAAGAAAAATCAAATACTAAAATAATCATTAGTTGCAGTTCTACTTGGAATTAAAATGTATTTCCAAACTTTACCAGTAATTCTCTTCTGTCTGCTGTTAGAGCTGCTCTTCAGTAGGGGGCAGCACTGAGCTGTGGCGGCCTCTCCGGGCGCTCAGCCTGCTGCCGCCGTCCGCCGGCGTTCGAAACCTGCTGCTGCTGTCGGACGGCCACATCCAGAACGCGGCGGCCACCCTGCAGCTGCTCAGAGACAACGCCCAGCACAGCCGCCTCTTCACCTGCGGCTTCAGGTGAGGAAGGTCTTCATCCCTCGCTTCCTTTTCATGTTTAGTTTCCCTTCAAACCAGGTGAAGTGGCTGTGTTTGTCATTTCAGCTCCACAGCCAATCGCCACATGTTGAGAGCCCTGGCTCAGGCAGGGGGCGGGGCTTATGAGTTTTTTGACTCTAAGGCGAAGCACACCTGGGCTGAGAAGGTGAGACTTTATAATTTACATGAAAAAAATCATATCCAGCCTGCCAAAGCTTTTTCATTCGCATCCTTAAAAGTCTTAAATTTATGTATCTAAAATTAAGGCTTGAAAATGTATTGTATTCATTTTTAAAAAGTTGGACTTTAGCACGTTAATGACAGATCTTAAATTTTGTTTTTACAGAACTATTTAATCATATTTTCTATGCAGGTTTTTTTTCTCACTGGACTTTTCTGTCAGGCAAAAGTTTTAGTCTGACTCACAACTACATTGTGTTTGACTGAATATTTGTGGCTGCTTTGTTAGCATAGCTCTATACTTAGCTAGCTTTTTTTGCTTCTATAATGGGTAAGTGCAAATTTATCGCTATTTGGCTGGACGAAGTTCATGCATTTCTTTTTCTTTTTTTTTTCTTTTTTTAGATTTTTATTAATTTAATTTTTCAGCAGAGCAAAGTACAGCCATACTTCAGTGGTACATAATACAAATGTTGACAATAGAAGTTCATGCATTTCTGTATGAACTTGCTGTTCCTGTATCTCTTATGGAGATGCAGGAACAGAATTTCATTTCATTAAATTTCATTCATAAAGTCTTAAATTGGAGATAGTGAAACCTGCAGAAACCCTGTTTTTATTTGGCCCTTTAGGCTCCAGTCAGCAAATTTGAGTCCTTTGAGTTTTTTTTGCAATTCCGCAAAATTAACAAATCTCTGCATTTTTTTTTCACATGAATGCATAATTGTGAATTTATTGAAAATGTTCCACAAAAATGGCCAAGAATATTGGGTTTTCCTCCTGTAGGTGGCAGTATTTCTTATTTTTAGGACATTCTTGCCACAAGCTTATTGATGTCAAGTTATAGTTCCTGAGCAATTAATAGTTACATTAACATCATGCAAAAGCAGAAATATTGCAAAATTTCTTGTAAATATTTCAAAATTAGCACCATTAGCAATGGTTATTTTAAAAGTTTGTTAAAACTGTTAAACAAAGTGGATGTGCCTAAATGTGTCGACTTGCTTCATTTTACATGGAAAACATTCATCATGAAGGTTAATTTGAGTCTTATCAGTTGAACTGGAGACATTGTGATACCTGAACATGCTGTGGCTGCAGGTGGAGCGCCAGGTGAAGCGCATGTCGTCTCCCGGCTGCAGCTCCGTCTCTGTGAAGTGGCAGCAGTTCAACCCCAGAGCTCCTCCAGTTCAAGCCCCGAAGCAGCTGAACTCCCTGTTCAACGACTGCCACACGCTGGTTTACGGCTTTGTGCCCCACTGCACTCAGGTATTCAACTGGTTCTTCTTCTCTGCTTTACCTGCTGGGCCAGGTAGATCAGAGAAATTACAAAGAAGAGTAAAGTTGATCATGAGCTGGCTGCAACTAACGATTAAAAATAATAAAATCTGTGATTTTTCATGCAGGCGACTCTTCTTGGAGACTTGCGTGGTCAGGAGCTTCAAACCATGGTGTCAACAACAGAGCTGCAGAAGACCAGAGGAACGGTAAGGCTGTTTATTATCGTATAAACACATTGAAACATGAAAAACAATCAACCTCAGCTGTTTGATTTGTTGTTTTAGTTTCTTCATAAGCTCACAGCGAGAGCCCTGATCAGAGACTACGAGGATGGGAACCTTGATATCACCGAAGCTGAACACGAGGTCAGCATGCGTGTCACCTTTGACCTCAAATCAGAGCTAAACTTTGGTGAAACTCCTGTTTTTGTGTTTTCAGGGTAAAAAAGCAGAGCTGAAGTCCTTCATCATCGATCTGAGCAAAGAGTTCTCCATACTGTCTCAGTTCACCAGCTTCGTGGCCATCGAAGAGAGGGTCTGTTTGTTCTCATGTCACGTTTAGAGATGCGTTTTTGAATCAAACCAAAGTCATTTTTCCTGTTTTAGGATTCTGGGAAGCCAGACGATGGCGTCATAGACATCCCGAAGCTGATCGCAGAGGAGGATGTGGACTTCCTGCCAAACATCACCTGGACTCTTCCTGAGGACAAAGAAAAAGTGAAAATATTTCTGTTAATACTCCACATGCTATGGAATTGCTCTGAAGTTCAAGATTTCTTATATGCGATTTATATGTCAAATCAATTATACAAAAAGAAATTCAGTTTTCTCCCAGAGTATTCATTTTGGGGGATCCGTCTCCTCTTAAACATTTGCCATTCCATCACTGCTGAATGGGTCCGCCGCCCCCATTTATTTAGTTTATTTTATTACTTTCCCCAGTAAACCAAGGAATTGTTTGTAGACCTCAGAGAGAAGTTTGTCTTTAGGCACAACTCTGGGGAAAAAATAAAGAAACATTTACGATCCCGATGAGCTCAGTGTTCTCCATCATTGGTCAGTGGAAGTTTGGAACCAGCAGGACTCTTCCTTAATCTCCCTGCAACATTTCTCAGTATCTTCAGATCTTTCAGGTTTATCAGTGTTTTATTTTGAAGGAAGAATGAATAAAATACTGGAATGTTATGTTTCTTTTACAGAGGAACTTTGGAGGCACTTATGGTAGCAATCATATAAGTTCTCAGGTGAAAAGGACCAAGTTTCCTTCACTGTTGTTTTTAGATACTTTAAGGTTTTTATGGTTTAAAGTTTTTTTTTCTTCCTAATCCAAGTTGTGATATTTTGTTCTTGTATTTATCTTGTTTAATTTATGTTTCTAAACTATATTTGTCTGTAAAGCACTTTGAATTGTCTTGTACACAAAATGTGTTACACAAAGAAATTTGCCTGGCCTTTGATGATGAACCTGTTCCCATCTCAACATTCTCAGTATCTTTGGATCTTTCTGATTTATCTCAAATTTTGTTACATACAAAGAATGATTGCTAAAAATACTGAAATTTGAATGGTTCTTTGTTATAAGGGCTTGGTGGAAACATTGTTGTCCCTAAACTGTGAGGAAACAAGGACAGTTTACACCACAGTTTTGTTTTTTAGCTAGATCTTTACAGTTTGTTACTTTAGACCATTATTTCTCAGTCCCTTAAAGGCGCATTCAGCAAACCAACAGATGTTTTACACTTTATCTGTGGTTTACTTGACAGACTCTCAGAATACCTACAGTATCTTTGGATCATTTGGGTCTATCTCAGATTTTGTTACATAGAATAAACTATGATAAAAATACTGAAACTTGAATGCTGTTTGTCTGTTACAGATGCGTTACGAATCTTCTCTCATTACTCAAGAGGTAAGGACATATTTTCAATCTCTGTTGTTTTTTAGCTACTTCTTTACAGTTTATTACTTTAGACCAGGGGTCCCCAAGCTATGGCCTGTGGGCTGGATCTGGCCCGCCTCCTCATTCGGTCCGGCCCCCTGAACAATACNACTAGTCAGTACCAGTCACCGTTTCGCTCACGTTTTTTTTCCATTTGCATTCTGGGTAAAAATCTATCTACAAACGCGAATATCCCGCCCGCCCGCTCCACAGTTTCACTCCCCACCCCCACGTCAACAAAAGTTTTCTAAGGTTTCTGTCTCGAAAAACTAAGACCGGCCCCCGACCAGAAAAGGGAACAGTTATGTGGCCCTCGCAGGAAAAAGTTTGGGGACCCCTGCTTTAGACCATTATCTCCCAATCCCTTAAAAAGCTCATGTAGCAAAGCTACAGATGTTTTCAGTGTATCTGTGGTTTACTTGTGACAGACTCTCGTGTGAACGAGATCAGAAACTACAAGTGTAAACACAGAATACTTGCCTCTAGAGGAGGGGTGGGCAACTCCAGGCCTCCAGGGCCGGTGTCCTGCAACTTTTCGATGTGTCTCTATTTCAACACACCTGAGTCACATAACGGGGTGGCTAGCAGGACTCTGCAGAACTTGAGTGCACTTAGGAGGCGATTCAGCCATTTGATTGAAGTGTGTTGGACCAGGGAGACATTAAGAGTGGCAGGACCCGGTCCTTGAGGACTGGGATTGCTCACCGCTGCTCTAGAAGTACCTGTGCAGAAATGGTACAGACAGGCTAATTATAGGTTAACTACAGGATGTTTATGGATGAGGTTCTTAGGGAAACTTAAAAGATTAATGAACAGGGTACATGCTTAGCACGTACATCATACCCATAGCAGTACATACAGGATATAAATGTGTCATTATGACACAGTTTGTCTTTGTAGCAGTATTGATATTTTTTTTCCAACAAAATTTAAGATTTATAGCTGGAAGAAATGGTTTGTACTGTTTGGTATTTTACTTGAAGAGTTATTACAATTAATAAAATGTGAAACAACATAAGTGATCAAATACTGATCATACCTTTCTAATTCATTTCCTGCTTTCTGCTTGTTTCTTTTACAGACATCTGAAGACAGCGATGACGATGTATGAGTCTTCACACACAAATCTATTATTTATAGTTCATATGTTATTTTAGACCAATATTTCTCAGTCCCTTATAGGTGCATTCAACAAACCCACTGAATGCGCCTTTGTACTTTATCTGTGGTTTACTTGTGACATACTCTCAGAATACCTACAGTATCTTTGGATCATTTGGGTTTAACTCAGATTTTGTTACATAGAAGAAACTATGATAAAAATACTGAAACTTGAATGCTGTTTGTCAGTTACAGATGTGTTATGAATCTTCTCTCATTACTGAAGAGGTAAGGACAGATTTTCAATCTCTGTTGTTTTTTAGCTGCTACTTTACAGTTTATTACTTTAGAGCATTATTTATCAACAAATGTTGAGAAATAATTGTCTTGAATGCTATGTTTGTTAGTTACAGCCGGTTCGTCGTCTACTTTCTGCCGCCAATAAAGAGGTAAGAAGGACGGATTTCAGTATCTGTTGTTTCTTAGCTACTTC